ATAAGATCTTCTCTAATTATAAGTGCTAGTGGGTAGCACCAAGCACGCCTCATCCCTAAATGATTCACAACCCACATCACTTTTCACTAATTTTAACATAAATTAATTGTCATTAAAGTTTCCAAGAAATATATCCTAACTTATCAACAACCTTAATTGGAATAAACCCTATTGTTAATTAAGTCAAAGTTTTGAAAGATTGAAATTTAGACACAAATCATAACTCAAATATGAAAAAAAAAAAAAAAAAAAAGGAGGAATAGGAGCTGACCTTTTGTAAGAAATGAAATTAAGAAAAGTTTTGACTAGGTGAAGGAGGTGATGTTGTTGGATTATTAAAGTGATTGACCTAAGGCTACAGATTGAAGAAAAAGGTAAAGTAGTAGTGTATAGCACAAAGGGTTTGATAGTGATATTAAGCCGCCCTTACAATGAACAAGGACCAAAAAGGCATTATTTCATTTTTTAAATATTGGTCTCCCCTTGTCTCCCCATTACATGAATAAAGTTGCAACCTAAAGCGCACTTCCTTTTCGTGCTCTTCTCCCCACTATGTCCCTTTTTACTTTTAACAGTGGATTATCTTTCTCCTACACAACATTACTTGTTCTCCTTTTGTATTTCATTTTCATATCATATAGATCGATTCATAAATTTTATTCTTCGTGTTAATACAACAAGTTATATTTATTTCTTTTAGAAAAAAAAAATCTTAAAGTTGTTTTATATATAAAATTTTAGAGAAGAATTTCTGGTTTCATCCTTGTTTGGTATGCGATGGAAGGGGGGTGCAAGTGCAAGCAAAGTTCAGAGAGAAAAGAGGAATGATGTAGAGAGAGTGGGATGTCCACAAAATGAAGGTATTAGTGGAGTCAGCCCACGCTTAAAAATTTAGAGATCCACTTGCCTAATTGCCTTAGCATTTTTGCCTTCTATTTGTCACTTCACCGACTCACCCACGACGTTTGTTTTTGTGGGATTCTCTAAATATTACTTAAAAAGATCTTTCCTTTTCATTAAATCCTCTGAATTACAGATATTATTTGTATCCACTATTGAGGACCGTGTGTTGACCCCCCACTAATTTCTATACCACTTATAATTTGCCACCTGGATCATTTCCACGTGTCACTTTTTACTGGCGTGTACATTTTTTTGGCCCCACCATTATCCCATGCCAAGACCTTATCCACCTCACCTCAGTGAGGGCCCCACATACGCATGCTTACTCGAAATTGTTAAAACGACAATCTGTCTCTTGGAAATTTCAGTCCAACTGGTTTTAAGTGTGAACACGTGCTTCTATGGAGGACCCACCATTAAATGAGGCTAAATTGGCATGTGTCATATATGTGACGGAAATTGTGCGAGACTGTCTGTGACAAAATTCATGCCATAACAGGCATAATCAACCTTTTTGGAGTTATTATCAGTATAAAATGGAGCTCACCATGTATGGTGGTGCAGGTGCAGGCGCAGGTTCAGTTTTCTTGAAAAATTTCTGAAATTTTGAGTTTGAAATTCAGTTGAGAATGGGTACTGAGGCGGTGGAGATTTTGTATGAAAATGGTTTCTCTAAGGTTTGTAATGAGACGATTAATCAGAATAAGAATGGGAATCATCAAGATTGTTGTTGGTATGAGGAAGTGATCGACGATCATCTCAAATGGTCGTTTGCTTTGAACAGGTTCGTAATTGTAAACAACTTTAATTTCTTCGTCATTCTCAACACCTTATTAAAGTTTTCTAACTTAAAACAAAATATATCTTCCATCTCAAATGCGAGAATATATGTAAACATTTTATGAAAAGGAGGATTACGATTAAGTTTTGCTTTGATTTCTCTTAATATCAAGTTACTAGAGGCGAAGGAAACGGGAGACATTTTAATGGCTTTAGAATTATCACCTCAAGTTAATGCTTGTTTGTCCATGAAGAAGTTTACTCTCTTTGGTTTAATTTCTAACCAAACAAAGCCTTCAGAAATATAGAAAATTAATTGTCCATATAGAAAGTGATTCAAATTTTAGTCTATTTTTGTTTTGAATTATATTATTTAGAGTAAAATTAATTAATTTTATTCTCTTCTTGTCCCAACAGAGTGCTGCATAAAGGGACCAGCGAATACCAGGATATTGCTCTTTTGGACACTAAACGTTTCGGGAAGGTAAGCATCCTTTGTCCTTTCGTTGTTTATCTAAGAACACGATTACATATATGTTGAAACTATGAAATGATAAATACTAATAGGATAATACTATACTTATAACGTAATTTCATAAACTTTATTTCACAACTTCTACATCCGAGTTCGCAATTGATCAACTCGTAATAGGTCCTACCTATCTAATTGTAGTCTTATCAATTGCAAGTTATCACAAGAAAAAGTTTGTAAGATTTTATTGTGGCCAATTTTTATTGATACTAAATATTGTTTTTAAGTAGTATTTATTCAATCTACATACAAGTGTTTGTGACAATACTCTTTTATTAATTGACATTATTAATATATCCCTTATTTTTTCTTTAATGTGTTGACTTTTTTACTTTCATTCTGCCTTTTGTTGTTCATTATTTTATCATTTGAAGAATTTAAATCAATCTTTAAATTAAAATATAAAAAACAATAACATTTATGATTGACATTCAAATCGTTCTTTTTTTTTTTTTTTTTTTAATTTTTTGTCTTCCGATAGTCCAACTCTTATATACAATACTTTCTTCCCCTTTATTCTAACACTAATGCTCTAATATTTTTATGGTTTTGATTAAATAAAGGTGTTGGTGATTGATGGAAAGATGCAGAGTGCTGAATCGGATGAATTTATTTATCATGAATGTTTAATTCATCCTCCTCTCTTATGTCACCCAAAGTAAGTATATATTAATTTATCCATCTGGGTTGTCTCATTAATTGATTAATACAAATTTCTATTTATCATGACCATCATATTCTTCTTACACTGTTAGATAAGGATATGGAGTTTGGATGAAAATACTTTTAATATAAATAATAACATTTATTCCCTTCGTATTGATTCTTCAAGTGATTTCATATTGCAAAGATGATAACAAATTAATGGGTTGGTTTATTACAGGATGTAATATTTCTGTGATATTCCTACATTTTTTCATAAAGAAGATGATGATAAATCTCCAAATTTATAATAAAAGCAAATTAAAATTTAATTCTGATTTATTATGTACAGCCCAAAAACTGTATTCATAATGGGAGGTGGCGAAGGGTCTGCTGCAAGGGAAGCTCTCAAACACAAGTCAATTGAAAAAGTTGTCATGTGTGATATTGACCAGGTACTTTTTCTAAATATAATCTTGTGCAATCATATGGCTTACGCACAGATAGAATTGAAAACTATTTTAATCCTTCTGTTTTATGCTTCTTTCATCTGTCTAATAACTTGATCTTGCTGCAGGAAGTAGTTGATTTCTGCCGAAGATACCTGACAGTAAACCAAGAGGCATTTTGTGACAAGAAGCTTCATCTAGTTGTTAATGATGCCAAGTAAGTTTATTTGTCTATTCAAACCTATGTCACATAAACATGTAGTTGAGCTAATAGTAATTATACAGCATCCAAAGCTGCTTTTGGGCTATCATTACCATATATGATATATTGCACTTGTAAAGTCTTAGGGGACAGTTTATTTAATGATAATTTCAAATAAAGTTTATGAAATAGCATGGTGAAAGTAACGAATTTCAAGCGTGTTCATTATTTGAAACTGTGTAGGGCTGAATTGGAGAAGAGAAATGAGAAATTCGATATCATTGTGGGAGATCTAGCTGACCCTGTTGAAGGAGGGCCTTGCTATCAGCTCTACACAAAATCCTTCTACGAGCGAATTCTGAAGCCTAAGCTTAAGGACAATGGCATTTTTGTTACCCAGGTAAGAACTTTATTGTTCCTGTTAGTTGATTTGTCTACCTTCTAGGAAAAGTAAACTAGACATTGTATTAAATCTTTGTTATATAGGCTGGACCAGCAGGCATTTTCAGCCACAAGGAGGTCTTTTCATCTATTCACAACACGATTAAACAGGTTTTTAAGTGTAAGCATATTCTTCAACGAACCAAATGTTCTTTTGTTGCTTTCTAATTAACCTGACACCTTTTATTAACATTCTGTTATGCATTGCAGATGTGCTGGCATACACAGCTCATGTGCCCTCTTTTGCAGATACCTGGGGATGGGTTATGGTATGTCGTTGATGCAAGTATTTGCTTATTAGTGCATGGTTAGTTTACATTTTGTTTATGCTAACGCATACAATTTGATTTAGGCGTCCGACCAACCATTCTCTATCAAAGCTGAGGAAATCGACCAGAGGATTGAAGACAGGATTAATGGTGAATTACTCTACCTAAATGGCGCTTCGTTCCTCTCCTCTGCCACAATGAATAAGGCTGTTTCTTTGTCGTAAGTTCTGATTTTCACACTTACAACCGTGCCAGATTTTGCAGAAACATCCTAAAAAATGTGTTAATATAATTTTATAAGTAACTCATTGATTGAGAAGGTTAATTTGATTGCTTTTTCAGGTTGTTGAATGAAACTCACGTCTACACGGAGGAAGATGCAAGATTTATTCATGGATTTGGTGTGGCTTATAACCGCCATTGAGGTCTCTCGGGCCTCAATTTGGTGGGGGAATTGCTGTACAGAAATATGAAATAGAACTTAAATTAAGCTTCTCTAGGAAATCAATCAAAACATTTTGTTAGAAGCATTTGGTGTTAAGACAATGTTGTTATTGGCTTCATTGGGGTGTTTATAGGAGTCATTACAATAAACTAAACTATCTTGTGACAGTTTTATCTAAGTAATGATATCATGAGGCAATCCTCCATTCTGATTTTTTTACTCTGGAATTGGTTCCGTTTGTGATGTGTCATTCAATTATTTATTTATCTGTTTATCTTCTCAGTTGTTCTGGATAGTGTGTGTGACCTTATATTCTGAAGCTTTCCTATATTTGTGCTAAAACAATCCCACCAAAGATAATATATATATAGAGAAAAGGTCTTGCATATTACTAATATAAACCAGTGTAAAAACAACAATAATACAGCGAAGAGATGGAGAGAATTCAGTGACGTTTCAGATACCCGATCAGCTTCGCTTAACAGGATCAAAGTTAGAGACCCCAATAACAGCTCCAACGATCACACCAAGCACGACTCCACCAGCGACGATGCTGAGCAAGAAGTTCTTGAGAGAAGGGGAGACACCAGGTCCAGCTGCCTCAGCCACCTGAGGTATTATCATTGAAGCTGTTAATGCAGCTGCTGTGAGTCCAGTCACAGCCTTTTCTCTTAAAGAGGCCTGCACTTCAAGTCTGACTTTTGACTTTGAGTTAGTGAAGAAGAAAACAGATTTTGATGGTCTTACAGGTAATGGTTTGATGAAGGATTGAGAATTTGGGTGGTGAACCCTTTTCTGGGTTGCAGAAGATAGTGGCATAGACATTGAAACTGAGACCAATTTGTAAGTTGAATTGGGTAATTGCTATCGAGTGTCTGCTTGGAATAAAATAGGTAAGCGAGTTTATTGATGAATTGGTCCAATTGGAATAGACAGAGAGAGATGAGAGGTGGAAAATAGAGATTTAGAGGTGATGTGTGAATTGGACGGTTTTATATGTGGCAAAATTTACACCTGGGCTTGGAGGATAAGCTTATCCTCCTAGATTTATTCATCTACTTGGCAATGTACGTGTTTCATGTATAAGAACACTACACTATTATTTTCTTAATAGATTGTTAGTTACTTCCAATGGATGGTCATGAAAATATATATATGTTTCTTCTAACTAATCACATCTAATATAAAATAAAATAAATGTAACAGATAATGTAACAAATAACAAGTAGTTCACTTGTATTGGATTTTTAAGGGAAAAAGTAAAAAAGTATATTAAAATCATTTTTAATAATTTACAACTAAAAATCTTTTTCTTAATCCAATTATTAATATTTTTTTTCGTAAAAACTTTAGTTTTAAAAAAATCTACTACAAAAATCTCACTTTTATGTTGTGTTGCTTAAGTATTTAGCGGTGATTAGGAACCCAACCCGACCTGGCCGGTTTAACTGGTTGGACCGGGACCTGGGGCCTTCTCCGGGTCAGGTTTAGGATTTCCACTATTCCCAAAATCTCTAATCTGACTGTCGACGAACGAGGGGCTACCAAGTGCCAAGGTTAGAAGGGTTTTGTAGAGTGGAGGCTGATGGTTCAAGGGCTGGTTTTGGATTGAATTTTGGATGCCAGAATCAGTTGGAATTTGGCCTAAAAAATCAACCTAATATGCGAGTCATGGCCGACGAATAGGGGACTACCAAGTGTCGAGGTTAGATGGATTTTGTGGAGTGGAGGCCAGTGGTTCAGGTGGTGGCGTCGAATTGAATTTTTGACGTCGAATTTGGTCGGAAAAATCAACCCGATTGCAGGATGTATGCGAGTCACGGCTGGCAAATGGGGGGCTACCAAGTTCCGGGTTAGAGAGGTTTTTGTAGAGTGGAGGATAGTGGTTCAAGTGGTGGTATCAGATTGAATTTTGGCTGTCGAAATCAACAGAAATTTGACTAGAAAAATCAATTTAGGGTTAGATCATAGGGTTGTATTTACTAGATTTCAAACTTGCAAGGATTGCTATGTATTTTTCAGGGGTGTGTTTGAAAATTTCAAACTTACTGGTGTTAGTGTATCCTCTAGGAATCAATCGTGTGGTCGGTTCCAAAGCATTATGTTTTGTATATATATGTTAATATATATATTTTGTATATACATTTTTATCTTATCAATAGAAGAAAGTGTTCTTATTTCACATGTAATTTATTGATTCATTTATATATATATAATACATGTAAAATGTACGGATGATACAAATCTTTAGAAAATCAAAATCATCAAAGTATTCCCTACATAGGTAAAATTAATTGGAAAATAATATTAAATAGTAGGCATGATGAATGCCTCCGTAGAATATCATGTGATGGTATTAGTGTAGGTGATTATAAAAGTTATATCACTATAGCATTAGTATGGATAAGCGGTTAGTGAACTGTTTATCGAATATGGTCATTTATGATGAATAACATGGACATTTAAAATGTAGTCAATGATTCATCATATAATCATACCAGTGTATTATTAATCCTTAGACCTGAGATATCACTGTTGGATTCTGCATAAACGCATATAGTTCATATAGTGTATAAACACGAGGCTAATCATGTCATGTGTTAATAAGCCGATTTGGCTATGTGTTGTTTATGTGTGAGGATAAGTGATAGTCAAGATGGGATCCGTTGACTTAGTATAGATTGATATCAAGTTTCTAAACAAATGTCAAGATACATTAAAAAAGAGAAATCTCTGGCCGAGATATATAAAATGTTACATGAAAGGTTGTTTCATGGTGACACGTTCCATATGTATTGATTGTCAATTTGATATAAAATTAAGATAAAGATTTTGACATACCATGAATCCATTCTTAATTGGGATTAGACAACTGAATGATTTGATTATACAGCGCATATGATTATAAAAGGGTTCGTTGGAGTATATCTTAATTGTGACTTAGGGGTTATGGAGTATTGCTAGATGTCTACCATAATCGGTGGGAGTTTTGTTTATAAACAGTTATAACAAAATATATCAGAATAGACTATGATATTGGGCCTACGATTAGGCCACAGTAAACTTAAGAGGTCACACATAAAAACTAAAGAGAATGGAGAAATAGCCAAAGAAAGTTGATTATCCAAGATTGGCTAGCACCTACCAAGGGTAATAAAGTTATTTATATTATTATCATTGAATTAGATTCCACGGAGGGTTATATTAGTTATTATGAATAATTTAAGAGTTAAATTGCTAATTGGAATTAAATGGAATTCAAATTCATAATTAATCATTTTCTTTATTTTAAATTGAATTTAACAATGGGTTGTAATTTAAACATATGAACAATTTAAGGGTTAAATTGTTATGTAAACAATTCAAGAATTAAATTTTTGCTGCCTCAGCCACCTGAGGTATTATCATTGAAGCTGTTAATGCAGCTGCTGTGAGTCCAGTCACAGCCTTTTCTCTTAAAGAGGCCTGCACTTCAAGTCTGACTTTTGACTTTGAGTTAGTGAAGAAGAAAACAGATTTTGATGGTCTTACAGGTAATGGTTTGATGAAGGATTGAGAATTTGGGTGGTGAACCCTTTTCTGGGTTGCAGAAGATAGTGGCATAGACATTGAAACTGAGACCATTTTGTAAGTTGAATTGGGTAATTGTTATTGAGTGTCTGCTTGGAATAAAATAGGTAAGCGAGTTTATTGATGAATTGGTCCAATTGGAATAGACAGAGAGAGATGAGAGGTGGAAAATCGAGATTTAGAGGTGATGTGTGAATTGGACGGTTTTCTATGTGGCAAAATTTACACCTGGGCTTGGAGGATAAGCTTATCCTCCTAGATTTACTCATCTACTTGGCAATGTACGTGCTTCATGTATAAGAACACTACACTATTATTTTCTTAATAGATTGTTAGTTACTTCCAATGGATGGTCATGAAAATATATATATGTTTCTTCTAACTAATCACATCTAATATAAAATAAAATAAATGTAACAGATAATGTAACAAATAACAAGTAGTTCACTTGTATTGGATTTTTAAGGGAAAAAGTAAAAAAGTATATTAAAATCATTTTTAATAATTTACAACTAAAAATCTTTTTCTTAATCCAATTATTAATATTTTTTTTCGTAAAAACTTTAGTTTTAAAAAAATCTACTACAAAAATCTCACTTTTATGTTGTGTTGCTTAAGTATTTAGCGGTGATTAGGAACCCAACCCGACCTGGCCGGTTTAACTGGTTGGACCGGGACCTGGGGCCTTCTCCGGGTCAGGTTTAGGATTTCCACTATTCCCAAAATCTCTAATCTGACTGTCGACGAACGAGGGGCTACCAAGTGCCAAGGTTAGAAGGGTTTTGTAGAGTGGAGGCTGATGGTTCAAGGGCTGGTTTTGGATTGAATTTTGGATGCCAGAATCAGTTGGAATTTGGCCTAAAAAATCAACCTAATATGCGAGTCATGGCCGACGAATAGGGGACTACCAAGTGTCGAGGTTAGATGGATTTTGTGGAGTGGAGGCCAGTGGTTCAGGTGGTGGCGTCGAATTGAATTTTTGACGTCGAATTTGGTCGGAAAAATCAACCCGATTGCAGGATGTATGCGAGTCACGGCTGGCAAATGGGGGGCTACCAAGTTCCGGGTTAGAGAGGTTTTTGTAGAGTGGAGGATAGTGGTTCAAGTGGTGGTATCAGATTGAATTTTGGCTGTCGAAATCAACAGAAATTTGACTAGAAAAATCAATTTAGGGTTAGATCATAGGGTTGTATTTACTAGATTTCAAACTTGCAAGGATTGCTATGTATTTTTCAGGGGTGTGTTTGAAAATTTCAAACTTACTGGTGTTAGTGTATCCTCTAGGAATCAATCGTGTGGTCGGTTCCAAAGCATTATGTTTTGTATATATATGTTAATATATATATTTTGTATATACATTTTTATCTTATCAATAGAAGAAAGTGTTCTTATTTCACATGTAATTTATTGATTCATTTATATATATATAATACATGTAAAATGTACGGATGATACAAATCTTTAGAAGATCAAAATCATCAAAGTATTCCCTACATAGGTAAAATTAATTGGAAAATAATATTAAATAGTAGGCATGTTGAATGCCTCCGTAGAATATCATGTGATGGTATTAGTGTGGGTGATTATAAAAGTTATATCACTATAGCATTAGTATGGATAAGCGGTTAGTGAACTGTTTATCGAATATGGTCATTTATGATGCATTACATGGACATTTAAAATGTAGTCAATGATTCATCATATAATCATACCAGTGTATTATTAATCCTTAGACCTGAGATATCACTGTTGGATTCTGCATAAACGCATATAGTTCATATAGTGTATAAACACGAGGCTAATCATGTCATGTGTTAATAAGCCGATTTGGCTATGTGTTGTTTATGTGTGAGGATAAGTGATAGTCAAGATGGGATCCGTTGACTTAGTATAGATTGATATCAAGTTTCTAAACAAATGTCAAGATACATTAAAAAAGAGAAATCTCTGGCCGAGATATATAAAATGTTACATGAAAGGTTGTTTCATGGTGACACGTTCCATATGTATTGATTGTCAATTTGATATAAAATTAAGATAAAGATTTTGACATACCATGAATCCATTCTTAATTGGGATTAGACAACTGAATGATTTGATTATACAGCGCATATGATTATAAAAGGGTTCGTTGGAGTATATCTTAATTGTGACTTAGGGGTTATGGAGTATTGCTAGATGTCTACCATAATCGGTGGGAGTTTTGTTTATAAACAGTTATAACAAAATATATCAGAATAGACTATGATATTGGGCCTACGATTAGGCCACAGTAAACTTAAGAGGTCACACATAAAAACTAAAGAGAATGGAGAAATAGCCAAAGAAAGTTGATTATCCAAGATTGGCTAGCACCTACCAAGGGTAATAAAGTTATTTATATTATTATCATTGAATTAGATTCCACGGAGGGTTATATTAGTTATTATGAATAATTTAAGAGTTAAATTGCTAATTGGAATTAAATGGAATTCAAATTCATAATTAATCATTTTCTTTATTTTAAATTGAATTTAACAATGGGTTGTAATTTAAACATATGAACAATTTAAGGGTTAAATTGTTATGTAAACAATTCAAGAATTAAATTTTTAATTGCGATTAAATGTTAATCTAATGTTATTATTTAAAGAAGTTTAACAACTTCATAATAATTATGAAATTATTACAACTTCAAAATAATTATGGAATTGTCTAAGGAAGTCCAAAACAATTATTGAATTGTATACAAGGCTAAATATGTACAGAAAATTATATATCAATTTTGAGATAGAGATCAAAATTTCTAAGAACCCTAAATGTCTCTCTTGGCCTAATTCTTCTTTTACCTTAGTGTAGATACTCTTTTGTTTAATTTCTCTTGAAATTAAAAGTCTCCAAGATTGCTAAGGACTTAAGGTAACAAGTTATACCTTACTTNAAATAAATGTAACAGATAATGTAACAAATAACAAGTAGTTCACTTGTATTGGATTTTTAAGGGAAAAAGTAAATAAGTATATTAAAATCATTTTTAATAATTTACAACTAAAAATCTTTTTCTTAATCCAATTATTAATATATTTTTTCGTAAAAACTTTAGTTTTAAAAAATCTACTACAAAAATCTCACTTTTATGTTGTGTTGCTTAAGTATTTAGCGGTGATTAGGAACCCGGCCCGACCTGGTCGGTTTAACTGGTTGGACCGGGACCTAAAGCCTTCTCCGGGTCGGGTTTAGGATTTCCACTATTCCTAAAATCTCTAATCTGACTGTCGAAAAACGAGGGGCTACCAAATGCCAATGTTAGAAGGGTTTTGTAGAGTGGAGGCTGGTGGTTCAAGGGTTGGTTTTGGATTGAATTTTGGATGCCAGAATCAGTTGGAATTTGGCCGAAAAAAATCAACCTAATACGTGAGTCATGGTCGACGAATAGGGGGCTACCAAGTGTCGAGGTTAGATGGATTTTATGGAGTGGAGGCCAGTGGTTCAAGTGGTGGCGTTGAATTGAATTTTTGACGTCGAATTTGGCCGAAAGAATCAACCCGATTGCAGGATGTATGCGAGTCACGGCCGGCAAATGGGGGCTACCAAGTTCCGGGTTAAAGAGGTTTTTCTAGAGTGGAGGACAGTGGTTCAAGTGGTGGTATCAGATTGAATTTTGGCTGTCGAAATCAACAGAAATTTGACCAGAAAAATCAATTTAGGGTTAGATCATAGGGATGTATTTACTAGATTTCAAACTTGCAAGGATTGCTACGTATTTTTTAGGGGTGTGTTTGAAAATTTCAAAGTTGTTGGTGTTGGTGTATCCTCTAGGAACCAATCGTGTCGTCGGTTCCAAGGTATTATGTTTTGTATATATATGTTTATTGTTTCATTTATATATATATGTATTACATGTGAAATATCCGGATGATACAAATCTTTAGAATATCAAAATCATCAAAGTATTCCCTACATAGATATTATTAATTGGGCAATAATATTACATAGTAGGCATGCTGAATGCCTCCGTAGAATATCATGTGATGGTATTAGTGTAGGTGATTATAAAAGTTATATCACTATAGCATTAGTATGGATAAGCGGTTAGTGAACTGTTTATCTAATATGGTCATTTATGATGAATCACATGGACATTTAAAATGTAGTCAATGATTCATCATATAATCATACTAGTGTATTATTAATCCTTAGACTTGAGATATCACCATTGGATTCTGCATAAACGCATATGGTTTATATGGTGTATAAACACGAGGCTAATCATGTCATGTTTTAATAAGCCGATATGGCTATGTGTTGTTCATGTGTGAGGATAAGTGATAGTTAAGATGGGATCCGTTGACTTAGTATAGACTGATATCAAGTTTCTAGACAAATATCAAGATATATTAAAAAAGGAAAATCTCCGGCCAGGATATATAAAATGTTACATAAAAGGTTGTTTCATAGTGACACGTTCCATATGTATTGATTGTCAATTTGTTATAAAATTAAGATAAGGATTTTGACATACCATGAATACATTCTTAATTGGGATTAGACAACAGAATGATTTGATTATACAACGCATATGATTATAAAAGGGTTTGTTGGAGTATATCTTAATTGTGACTTAGGGGTTATGGAGCATTGCTAGATGTCAACCATAATCGGTGGGAGTTTTGTTCATAAAGAGTTATGACAAAACATATCGGAATAGACTATGATATTGGGCCTATGGCTAGACCACAGTGAACTTAAGAGGTCACACATAAAAACTAAGGGGAATGGAGAAATAGCCAAATAAAATTGATTATCCAAGGCTGGCTAGCACCTACCAAAGGTAATAAAGTTATTTATATTATTATCATTGAATTAGATTCCACAGAGGGTTATATTAGTTATTATGAATAATTTAAGAGTTAAATTGCTAATTGGAATTAAATAGAATTCAAATTCATAATTAATCATTTTCTTTATATTAAATTAAATTTAACAATGGGTTGTAATGTAAACATATGAACAATTTAAGGGTTAAATTGTTATGTAAACAATTTAAGAATTAATTTTTTAATTGCGATTAAATGTTAATCTAATGTTATTATTTAAAGAAGTTTAACAACTTCATAATAATTATGAAATTATTACAACTCCAAAATAATTATGGAATTGTTTAAGGAAGTCCAAAACAATTATTGAATTGTTTACAAGGCTAAATATGTAAAGAAAATTATATATTAATTTTGAGATAGAGATCAAAATTTCTAAGAACCTTAAATGTCTCTCTTGGCCTAATTCTTCTTTTACCTTAGTGTAGATACTCTTTTGTTTAATTTCTCTTGAAATTAAAAGTCTCCAAGGTTGCTAAGGACTTAAGGTAACAAGTTATACCTTACTTGTTTTCAATTTGATTGAATTTTTTTGCAAAATATGAATAAACATATTGTAGTATCACATGCATCATTCTTCATGCATTCTATCTTTTAGCTGGATCACCAGTTAGACCACCGGTTTAATCGGTCGGACTGATCAACCTGAGACTTGGTCCTTTTTGGCCGGGTGACACCGTGTGTCAGGTTTCAGATTGGTATTTAGGCCTTCGACTCCGCCTCATGGCCCTTTATGAAGCACTTCGCCAATGTAAGCATTGCCTATCTTTACCATAAATTGCATTAGAGAAACCATATTCTGTTCTAGTAACCCCATTTAATTTTTGGATGGCAATTTTTAGCCCCAGCATTTTTTTTTTTTTTTTTTTCAGAGTCCCCATTTTTTTTTTTTTTTTTTTGGCAAGTTTAACCTTAAATAAAATTATTATAAAAGAACATTATAAATTCTAAATACACTCCTACTTTATTTTATATTTTCTTTTTATTATTTATTTTTATAACATTTAAGACTCTAGTTTATCATAAATTGCTTTAGGAAAACATAAACAATAATCACATTTCACTTCTCCATCATATTCAAAATTTTCGACTAATATGTTTGTTTCTTAAACTTGAAGTTATAAACTAATCCATTTTTTTTTTTAATGGCAAAACTAGATTTTCTCACTTTCGGTGGAGTTTTTTGGAGTGATTGGAGCTCTTTTAGGATTATATAAATTTTGTATTTAACAATTGTTGGTTGATAGAAGAAGTATAGAAATATAGAAAATCTATGAAAACTACTATGACCTATTAAGAGTCAAATAAAATTAACCTAACTCATCGTCTTTGTAAGTAAGACCTTTGATGCAAATTTGGACAATTTTACCCTTCCTCTTCACTTCACTTATCTTCTCTTTTCATCTTTCCTCATTCTTCTCTCTTTTCTTATTTCTCTTCTCTTCTTTCTCCTTAGTGTTTTTAGATTTTTTTTTTTTTTATTGTTTGATATGTTTTAGGGGTGTATATCATGTTCATATGTGTTTAATATAAATGAAATAATGCATAAGGAAAAAAAATAACCGAATCAAAAGAAATTTCTAGAAAAATTGTAGATTCTCAAGTCGCAAAAGTCTACTCTCGCAACAGTCCTGTCTTGCACGAGTAGGGTATAATGATTTACATTCACTCGAGTGGGGTCTTTTTGATAACTTTTAGGGGTTATAATGATTATTTACACGGTAGATTATGTAAAATATCCAGTTGACTCATAAAATATCAAAAAAGTCCATTTGAGTGGGACTAATATCATTGTACCCCACTCATGAATGGCGCAAGAGTCTAGTCAATCGATTTCATTGCTTTGTTTTCCGAACACATCTTTCAACCTAATTTTAGTTAACATAATAGTTTTTTTTTTTTTTTTTTTTTTAATACACTAAATATTATTTCGACATTTCATATATTTTTTAGCATTATATTCTTTCAAAAAATCGTAATATTTAATCTTAAATCAAAAGCTTTTTATCATTTTCATGGAAGCAATGGTATTAATGTGATTAAGTGTAGAAGACAAAGGTAGAAATGTCCAAAAATCTTGTGAGGAGTCTTCCTTACAAAGTCATTTAAAAGTTAGTTATTTTTTAATTTGAATTTTAAAAAAATGTTAACTGAGTAAAATTTCCAAAATCTATTTAGTAATTAAGAAAACAAAATCTTTAGTTTAGGAGACTTAAAAGGAAAATTTAATAAATATATAGATATTTACCATCTTATATTATAATTGTCATATTTCAATGGATATTTACAAATTTAGACGAAGTAAAGTAGGAGATGATCTAAATCTAAAAATTAGGAAAATAGGGTAAAGAATAAAAGGGGTAATTTGGGAATTAAGTGGGGCTTAAAAGGATTTTTCAAAATATAAATAGGGTATACTAAACCTAATAACAGGAGCTTCTGATCAAATTATATGGGGGCTAAAAATCACTTCCCTTAATTTTTTTTTTTGGCACAAATTTGTTAAATAAAATGGCTATGAAAGAAAATACTAGTTCTGAGTACAACTTTATTATTTTATTTATTTATTGAACATGAACCCTAAATTTATGTATTGACCATGAACCCTAAATTTATGTATAGGCTCTTAACTCTGAACTTTTCTTGTTTATTATAAGCCTATGTTGATTCGAATATTTGTTTATTTGATGTTTAATATAAAGTTTGTTAAACATCAATTAAATTTCAGTACATTTTTCTCAAACTTCTATAAGTTAGAAGGACATTTTGACTGAATTTATTTGAAAAAAAATGAAAAAATTATTAGGGAGAGAATAGAGAGAGCAAAAGAAGAGAAATTATACAATTAATAGAAATGTAAATTATCATTACTTTACTAAATAAGAATTGCTTAATCAAATCAAACCCTAGATATAAGTTCATATAAATTAGAAAAATAAAAAGAATGAAAGAAAAAAAAAAAAAGACAAGCCACTCTTGAAAGGCAAGATGAAACAAGCGATGAGATTTCAATTTCGCATTTGGAATGACAGAAGAAGCATGTTTTGATTTGCATTTGAGATGTGGATGTAATCAATAATGTTTTTTTATGCTATTAGAAATTCATTTTATAACTTATTAAATGAACACAATATACTTGATAATGGAAGGCTAATGATTTCCCATTTGCATCATTGTTGCTAGCTACTGCTCTATACAAGGATGGGCTCATTTTTCATCATGACAAAGCTAGCCCGTTGCAATATGCTTCACCAACTGATCTTACAATTTTGACTCTACGCTTCAATGAATTTTTCGGGAAGTCAATACATTAAACTCGAACTATAGAATGGCTGCTGATAAACTATATCCCACTTTCTTTGTTCAATTAATCTTACAAATCATATTTTACAAATGCATTTTTTCTGTAATCATAAAGTTTTAAAAATTCACGTGGTCAGAAAAGATTATAGCTAAATTCACGCCCAGCTGCGTTTTTAGAAATTTGCACACATAGCTTCAACAGTGTATTATTCTTTTTTTACTCTAGAGGCCAATTCCACTTTCCACCTGTATATCATGATAGATGGCAACCATTCCAGATATGACAAACACTTTGATTCAAAAGCTCCTATCATGGTTTCAGTTTAATCTTACTTTTTATATATGTTCTCATCTTACTTTGATTATTTATGTCTTGATGAATTTGACTACTTACTCGTGTGTCACACTTGGTGAAACCTCTTTAATTGCTACAACATTAACCATTTATAATATTATCATCATTGATAAGTTATGCCGAGAATATAAGACAACAGGAAATACAAATAAGAGACTATAGTTCTTGATTATCTTCAGAACTATTACACTAGAGCAGCAGTACCTTATCTGTCGCCAATTTCTTGTGATGGTGGAACACACAGCTTGGCACCTTCATTATGGAGAGCTGACTCATCATTGTGAATATGAAAGGAAAAAACTATGCCACAGTTTCACTATAGTCTATAGCATCTTCCCTTTGCCATCAAAATATGCTGTAATCATACAAAAAGTTTAGTTTAGTTTACAACAAAAGAGAAAGATTTTCGGTGTTATGCTATAGTTCAACCTGAAATCAATTAGAAGTACAGGTACAAAGTGAGTGGTATTTTGTATTCTTGTCACCAAGTCCAGTTCAGAAATCTGTGCAACTTTACTATATGTGAATTATGGTTTCACTAAAACCAAATAATCACAGGCTAGAAAATCCTCAAATTTGTTGATTTGAGTAGCAGCTACAAGTTGCCAAGGAAAACCTAAGCTATTCCTTAATGCACTTCTAAAAAAATCAACCAGCAATCTATCTTTTACTCTCATCCTGAAGTAACAAGATTTGATATTTTAAATGAGTCATACATATTATGCTCATTAAAATAGGGCGAGAGAATGAAGAAATACTTACTTGCTTTTATCAAATGCTTTCTTGGGTCATGAGAAACGATTATCCGATGGTCCCAGTAGTTGATTCTTTCCCGATTTGGCCAAGATGAACTTGTTGGGGAAGTAGATTGTACTTTATGTTTAGTTCCTCAAAGATTCTCTTTAGTTCAATGACCAGTTCACTTCTTCTTTTGTTCTTCTCTCCAAACTCTTGGAAGTTCATTGTGTGAGTACAGTAGAGACCTATCTTTATCTTATTGACATTTTCAATTTCTTTCACCACTACATTGTGGTTAGGATGCCAATGTTGGGGATTTTTCTCCAAATAGCTGACCAAACAAGACCAAAAAGTGTCAAATTTTAGGACAAAAGAAAAAGTTTCTAACTTTGACCCCAAGCAAGTTGTATCAAGGCAAAAACAGAAGGCTAAGTGAAACACCCATGTAGAAGGCCAATGGTCTAGAATCAACAACATAATCAGTTTGCCATGAAACAGTAGTATATAATGAAATAACAAAAAAGGGATATCGTCAACTTACTTCTTTATTTTTTCTTTCAGCAACCCAATCCTCTCTACTGGCGTCATAAAATCGATGGAAAATTCAATGGAATCACCCATATCTGGACTTCTGTAGTAATTACTGATGGGCTTTGTAGACAAAACTGAATTTGGATAGTAAAGCTTTTCATTATCAAGCTTCAAGAAAACTGTCGTTAAAATGTTCATTTCTTCAACCAACAACTGTCAAGACACCATGAATATTAACCAGATGTAGATGAACATTCTAGTTATAATAAATTATGATAGTTTTAAGAAGTTACCTGAACCCCATCAACAACACAACGGTCACCAACATCAAATGGATGCATCACAAATACAAATATGATAGCTTCAAATATAGTCTTGCAAGTGTTCCCAAACATAAAAGCTGCTACCACTAGTTGCGATGAGAGGAAGACGAGCACTTTTGTTGTTGCAATTTCCATTAAGAGGAGCCAAATTACAAGAGTCACAATAACCAGGATCACTGTCACAAGCTTGTTCAATTGCTTTACAGCAGTTTTAGTGTCATTTAATGCATGCGCTAGTGCTTTTCGACCATTGTAAACCTTCACCTGCACAAATTAAGAAAAGGAGAAGAAAGAAGATGGGGAAAAAGTAAGTTACCAAAAGAATCTCTGCCTAACCAAACAGAGGTTCCCTATCTTAATAACATAAATAAGAGATATAGTCACTTCAAGCTTATTATAAACTTGTTCACTCCCATTGTGTTACCAAATTGAGCTGAATATATTCAATGCACTAGAAAAGTTAAAATTATCTTTGCTCTGACGGTTCATGGAAAAGATGGAAAAAGAACAATAACGTTTCATATTTGAGTAGTAAGTTGCCAAATCCTCTTTCCTTCAGTACTAATCAGAAGTTCACTTGAGCACCTACATAACTTTAAAACGTGCCAGTTTCATGGCTTCATAATTTTTAACCTCAAATAAAAAGTTCAGAAGCAGAATTGGACCAACAGCACTTGGCCATCTATCAGAACAGGAAGCATTAGAAGAAAAGAGCGGATCCTTATAAATTAAAGGGTTAAGGTATCAATAACCTCCATATGTTTTGGTCAAAAATCAAGTGGATTAAGGAGGATTGACATTCATTAGAAACCTCCTTTACAATCCACCTGATTTTTTATCAAAACATAGCAAAAGACAATATATTAACCCCAAACTACACATAAACAATCTTACCACCCAGACTGTCAGAGCTTTCCTATCAATCCGTCCTTTCTCAGATCCTTCAATTAGTGGGAATACAAGATCCACCTCCTCTTTAATCATAAATCTTGAGAGGTCTTCCTCATCAATGTACCTATTCATAAAGTAAAAATGCTCAGGAGAAATGACAAAGACAGGGGGAAAGAACATAAAGACACTGGAAGCCTCAAAAAGGGGAAGAATGTCTCACTTGCAACCAGGCGGAGCAACATTATTAAACATTTGGAATGCAGCTGCAGTCGCTTCCATCTCATTGGTAATTTCCTTATCTGCTTGTTCACTCATATCCTCTACAGTTTCATCTAATGTATTGGAGATTGTGGTGAGCCCTGAATTCATGATTGCATCAACCAATACCTTCATGGTCCAAGCGGTTACCTTCTCTTGCTTCATTTTATGAAATTTACCCATATCAATAATCTTTTTCTCCTTTGCTTCTTTACCTTTCTTTTTACTACGGAAACTCAGTTGACCGGTGCTTGCTGATTTCCCAACCCTCTGAGCTACCTCAATGAGTGGAGGTCCTGAAAGAGTCTGAAGTACATACTGATGGAAGACTGATTCTTGAATTCTATCAAAGAATCTATTGACATGGAAATTAGAAGCTAAAATCTTTAGCAACAAAGTTTTCAACAGCCACAGAAATGCCCCGATGAGAATAGTGATAAGAGTCATGGTTACATAATCCAGAACCTTGGTGGCAAACTCTGATCGCTTAACCCCACTCTTAAACAACAAGACCCAAGTAAGAAGAACCAGAGCCAGCCACATAAAAACCTGAACACTCTTTTTTAGACCATGAACAAAATAAAGCACCTTCTTCTTTAGCAAAAAGTTCTTCTCAATCAAGAAAACAACAAAATGCATAATCCAATTAGTCACCATCATGCCAGAGAATATGACCAACACAAGCACACACCATTTCCAGACCTCCAACTCCCAAATCATAGACTTTTCCAATTTTTTCACAGTCAAGCTAGCAACTAAACACACCACGATCCACAAAAAAGCAACCCACTCAATCAACACTTTAGTTTTAATTTTCTTGCGTTTTTGTTTACTCAATTTAACTTTCTGGTAAATCTCCTCGTCCTCATCATATCCTGCTCCTCCTGGAGATGCCATTAGTGGTGTTCTTGGGGTAATTGGATTTGTCACAGTACCTGAAACAGACTTATTATTAGGTGATCCTCTACTAAGCGAATTCCTACAAGGCGAGTTCACACCAACTTGATCTTGAAATGCCAAACTATCATTCTCTTCCAACATATTAGCATCAATATTATATGGTTGTTCTCCAAATCTCGATTTGGGTTTTGAGTACACTGACCTTTTTAATGACCTTCTTTGTCTAAGGATCGTTTCAACGGTAGTTGGAATTTTTGGTGGCTTATTTGGGCTTGGACTAGATCTTGAAATCTCAGGCGAAGGGCAACTCACTGGCACTGATTTTGCTACAGAACCAGCAGTAGCCGGTTCTGTAGTTGCTACTGAAGAAGACTCTTTTGCATTTGTGTTGTCTAAATTAGCTTTTGGAGTCTCTTCCCCCGAAATTTTTATCACCACTTCATTACCATTCAGAGTTTTCCTTTCTGACATGCTTATTTCACCACCTCTAGGAGCTTTCTCTTTAACATCCATCAATCAAACCCTAAAATAATTTCAAAACACAAGAAGTTTCGCCGTTATTTGCAAAAAAAAAAAAATAAATAAAAGCCAGAAACGACGTAAGTGCTACAAAATCTTCATAAAAACCGTACATTTTCTTCAAGATATTTTAACAAAAAGTAAAGCCTTGCAGCTCAAAAGGCTTTCTACTTGATCATCCTTTTCCTTAAAAAATTAGCGTATCTGTTGTTTTAAGCAGCTAATTTCGCACCAAAAGGACTTCTAAAATACAAACTATAGATTCATCATGGTAGAAGATAAATAAGCTGAGTGTATTTACCTGTGACTAGCTCGCCGGAGAGTTTAGTAATTCACTAGCGCAGAGAAAAATGGAAGAGACAGTGATAAATGATATCCAAAGACGATTAAGTTTGAGCCAATATGATTCCAAACAAAGGGAAGAAAGATCTGTGTAAACCAAAAGACCAACAGAGGAGCAGGTGATTTGGAACTGCAGAGAGAGATTAGAAGTAATAATGATAATGACAGCTAGCACTAGTTATGCCGTGAAATGGGCCATTAACAGAGAGAATGTTGGACCGCGGTCGAGACGGTGTGAACAGAGTGAAACGAACGGCAAACCGAGAAGGATAGAGAGTGTGGAAAGTTAAAGAAATTTCACATTTTGAGGAGTGACCAACTGAAAAGATATTATATTGAAGCTCGAAGTTCTAGAAAAAAGAAAGCCTCTGAGTCATATTATGAAAATATATTATGGAAGACGGTGTTCAGTGAACTAATATTTCAGCTGGTGGAAACAGACGTTTAAATCAAAGGTGGTGATAGGAGGGTAGAACTGTCAATCAAGTTTTCTATTATATGTATTTTTTTTTTTTGGCGGACTATTATATGTACTTTGAAACTGCCATATGGCCCATACATGCAGATGGTAAGTGTCTGCCTAGCCCTCTGGTTGGTTGTAAACTTGTAATAATGATCGTAGCTGTGTCACGTCTGATAATAATCTCATTTGAATTCAGAACTAATTTTAAAATAGAGTGTTTAAACTTTAATGGCTACGTGTAGCTAAACAATTTGTTTAATTTTATTCACATCACATGCCCCTTATAATTTTGCTGAAACTTTGAAATCATCTTTAATATTAGGAAGACATAAAAATGGTTAAATATAAGTTGTTTTTTCTTCTTTTATCACTTTTCCTTTGTGCAGAAAACCTCATCAACAAACCCACATAATGTGTCACAAAATTTATCATCAATTTTTACAGAAAATCCGCTCTTAATTTTTCTTACTCCCTTATCAACAAACCCAAAGAACGTATAAAAATGGAACAAATAATTCATCAAATCATAAATCTAAAAACAAAAATGCACAAATGTTTTGAAATGGAGATGGCAGGTGGCATCGCCAAGGTTGGGATCATCCATGGCAAGTCTTGGGTTTACGTAAAAAAATGTGTGTGATACACGGAGGGTGTGTTTTAGGAAAAAGAAAGAAAGGAGGAAACAAAGACAAAAATTCATTTCTGTTATTAGTATATCCGTGCATTCCAGTTGTGTGGCTAGATAAGAAGTAATAAATAAAATGATTCAAAATAATGTTACAAAAAACATGAGTAAACTACTTTTTCCTACCCAAATAATCTCTTAGAAACGCTTTTCCATCTACTGAATCCTATTTTACTATAAAAAATTATATTCTATTTTTAATTTCAGCATCATTGCGACCCTACACTACCATTATTCTCTTCCCCAATCATCATTCATAAAAATCGCTCAAACCCTACTCCTATCAATCATGTTAATCGTTGGCAATCGAGCGATTAAGGTTTACACAATCGTCTCTCTCAAGTCAAATTTCGATTAATCCTAACCATGAAATCTAATATTCCACTACCATAAGACTCATCGACCTCCTCTCGTTAAAAGTTCCAACAATTTAGATTGAGTTTACACTCTGTTTATTACTAAAATATAAATTTGAATAATAAAATAATGTGATAAAAGAAAAATGTTATTAAACCGTTATTTAGTTAAAAAAAGTCATTTACTCCTAAAACCATTTTCAGTTGTCCTTCCGACGCCAACTGTCGGGCTTACCAAATATGTGAAATCTGTACTATGATACATGCAATGCCACCAATTAACTCAACATCCTCCTTTAATATTTAATTCACACCTTTAAATAATACTTATAGTATGTTCTTTTATATTTACAAATACCATAATACATGATAAAAGTTCTAAAAAATTCACGAGTATTTCAGAAAATTGCTAAATTTAGTATGACTGCTAATAGTTTAAAAGTGCCTTCTGGTGAGTAGATTAAAGTTGAAGATAATTTATTTTTTAATAATGGATTTGGTATCCATGATTGAACCACAAAATGACAGGCATTAGATGATGAAATCTAGAAGACAACTGAATTTGAAAGTACTTTTAAACCAAGATTTATCTGAAAGAGTGGATTACTTTTTTATATTAAACAAAAACCATGGAAGTAAGGAATCACAGTTTCCTGTTGGTTTATTGCAATACCTCAGTTTCGTTGGAGAATAATCTAATCATCAATTATTATTTAATGCTCACGTCGATGAGGCTTCCGTTCATGACATGGGTGTGGCTTGAAAATCACTATTTCAACGTGAATAATAAGACATAGAGTACAATAAAGAGAATAATTAATTTTTTACAGGATACAAAAATAAGGAAAAGAAAACTGAATTTCAAGTTTCGATTTAAAAAATCAAAGAACAAGAACCAAATAAGAACATAAAGGTTCAGATTATCCTAAAAAACGAAAGGAACACAAAAACACTAACCATTAATATGGCTTAAAAAGTTTATGGTGAGGAGTCGAATCACATGAGTGTTTTATATTCCCTTGAGACTCTTTTATTCATCCTGGCGTATTTTATATTCCAGCAGCTATCCTTATTATGCAGAACAACTGAACGACAATTTCAAGGATTGTTAAACACTTGTTTTGTCTGATGCTTAACGGAGGTCCAAAAGTTTGAAGCGTGTATGAAACGGCCCAATCCCCTTTTCTAGTTTTCTTTCGAGGCCAAATGTTTTTGACAATTTTATTTCATAATCAGGCTTGGTCTATGTGATTGGGCCTCCGACTCTGAGAATCTTCGACGCAAGGGAATCATTTATCCTTACAAATCAATTGCGTTTGTTTATGGGAAGTAATTTTTAACCCCTATTTATTTTCAAGTTTTTCTTTTATTTTTATTCATAATTTATAATTTGATTAATTATAATATATTTCTAATTAATATGCTAATTATGTTATAGTAAATTTATGTGCTGATAAGAGAGAAAAAAAATTAAAAATAATTTAAATTCATTAGATTGTGGTATGATTGACATAATACTAATGTGATATTCCAGTTTTTCTCTTTTATCAAATGTAATAAGTAAATAATTGAATAAATTTTTATTTTAATTCTCTCATCAATTTCATAAAATAAACATACCCTTTCAATTTCATAAAACAAACATTGCCTTAAAAAGATCAAAGCCATGATGTATCCAATGACTGGGCCGTGTACCAGCTATTCATAAAATTTTTAAATTTTAAATCTTGTTCTCTCTATCCATTCTCACCCCAAGCCTGTTTGCACAGTCTTCTTGTGTCATCGATCGATTTTTTGATCGGATTTAGCATTTTTCTACGAAGTTCGATGATAAACAAGGGCCTGCGCGTTGGGAATGAAGATCGGTGGGTATTCCAGTCTTTTTACCATTTTTGTCTTTTAGCAGATGGAAATTCCTAACAGAACATGACAGAAAGTGGGTGTTTATCATTTTCAAACTTTTTGGGTACTACTTTTTCTATACAGCAAACTTTGGGTATGTATAAATGGTTCCCCCGGTATGTTATAATGTGGTCCTTGATCGTAATTTAAAAACAATGTTTAGATCAATTTTTCAGTGGTTCAGTCAGATTTAAAGGGCCAACTCATTTTGAATTCATATAAAAGTTAAACAAAAAATGAGATCAAATGGGCCGTTAACAAGTCAAATAGATACTCTAATGTATTTTATAATGTGGTTCTCAATTTTCACATACAAAATTTGCAACTATAATACACTTGCATGTATAATTCTTCATGATTTCAATTTTTTCGGAGACAAAAACAACAAATTAGAACATTTATTTACATGATAACTATTATAATCCACTAAAAAAGCTCTTCCCAAATATATGGTACGCCGCTTAGGAGCAAGATGATGACGCAAAGAGAAGCCACAAAAGCTGCGTAAGTTGCTGTAAATTATGAAAAAAAATCATATGAATCTTGGTCATTTCTTAACGATGATGAGCCACTTCGGACATTGTTTTGCCATCGACCACCAAGAGGATTCATACCGTTTTGGAATGCCATGGTAGCAACCAGTTATGCTGCCACCATTAAGGCTCCACCCGTATATTTTCAACCCAGTCATATATCTTTGCTCTTTTGACTGCGTTAATCTTCTCTGCGCCTTTACCTTTGGAGCTTAACATGATAATTTGATTCTTTCCATGAGATGTTAAGCTTCTGGTTTAATTGTGTGATGCCAGTATGATCATTTTCGTGTGTTGATATATGAAAGCTAGCTCTTGCAACTAATTGCTCCACCACTTCGAAGCAATTCCCCGATCTCCTAATCTTTCACATCTCTTTTGCTTCGTGTTAAAATATCCAATTTTATAAAGCCATTTGCATTAAGAGAGGTAGAAGTCATCAAAAACTTTATTGCCTGCACATTTGAGTTCAAGAAAATCTCGTTAGGACCAGCGAATATCCTATCCCAATATAACTTTTATCAAACACAAATAAACCGAGTCAAAAGTTAAAGCAGAGTTTGCACCCCACATTTCTTATCAAATTTCACAAATATAGTGCTCTAATAAATATACATGCATCCACTACAAATCAGTGTCAATCCACGTATATATGTTTGTTTCCTTTAGCAGTGGAGCCAACACAATCAATTGACAACTCTTAAGAGTTACGATGG